GATAATAAAGAATGATGAAAAGCGGCAACGTACTTCCACATCAGAGGTATGGGGGTATTTTAGAAAGTATGTAAATCAAGATAATGTTACAAAGGCACAATGCAACAAATGTAAGATTGAGTATAATGNTATTTTAGAAAGTATGTAAATCAAGATAATGTTACAAAGGCACAATGCAACAAATGTAAGATTTAGTATAATGTTGCTAGTAAGTATGGAACTGGTAATTTGTGGCGTCATTTAGAGACTTGTTTCAAACAACGTGATGTGAGCCAGTTAATTTTAAGTCAAAGTCAAGGGTCTATTACTGCACGGTCTTTGAAGGTTAACGAGGAAAAATTTCGAGAGATGTTAATATGTGCAGTAATTAGACATGATTTTCCCTTTTAGCTCGTTGAGTATGAATGTGCGAGACAAATCTTTAGCTACTTAAATCTAAATGTCAAATTTATTACAAGAAACACGGCTAAGGCTAATATTCTAAAATTGCATGCAAAAGAGATACGTAGGTTGTCTATTATCTTGCATGACATACCTGGTAGGATTAGTTTGACTTCTGATTTGTGGACATCTATTGCTACCGATGGATATTTAAGTCTCACAGCACATTTCATCGACAAAGATTGGGTATTGCAAAAAAGAATTCTGAATTTTTCTTACATGCCTCCTCCACACAGTGGCATTGCATTGACTGACAAGATTTATGGTTTGTTGACAAAATAGGGGGTTGATAAAAAGTTATTTTCAATTACTTTGGATAATGCTTCTGCAAATGATGTCATGGTTGATATGCTTAAGAATTAACTTAATTTGATAGATGCTTTGCTTGGTGATGGTGGATTTTTTCATATTCGTTGTTGTGCTCATATTCTAAACTTGATTGTGCAAGAGGGGTTGAAAGAAATAGATTTAGCTGTGGAAAAAGTCAGAGAGAGTGTCAAGTATGTAAAAAGTTCTCAGGCAAGAAAATAAAAATTCTTAGAGTGTGTTGCACAAACATCTTTAGATAGCAAAAAAAGTTTGAGGCAAGATGTTCCTACTAGATAGAACTCAACATATTTGATGCTTGCAAGTGCAATTTACTACCGTCGTGCCTTTTGTCATTTGCAACTTGTGGATTCTAATTTTAAGCATTGCCCATCTCAAGAGGAATGGATCAAAGTTAAAAAGATTCAGATGTTTTTAAAAAATTTCTATGACACTACTGTTATTTTTTCTGGCTCCAAGTACCCCACATCAAATTTGTACTTTCAACAAGTTTTCAGTATTCAATTGACATTGAATAAAGAAATGCAAAGTTTGGATACTTTTATGAGAAGAATGTCTTGTCAAATGTATGAAAAATTTGAGAAGTATTGGTTGGAGTATAGCGTGATATTGGTCATTGCAATTGTGTTTGATCTTCGCTATAAACTTGACTTTGTGGAGTGGTGCTATAAGAAGTTTTATGGTGAAGGCTCTCTTGAGTATTTTCATGTTCGAGACAAATTTTTTTCTCTATTTGATGAGTATATAAGCAAATCTGTTGTCACCTCTTCTTCTCAATCATCGACTATTCCCCGTGGTGGTGTAGTTGCTTGTGAGCCAATCTTGAACACATAACCTGTGTTAGATTTGAAGGTATTTAATTTTTTGTTTTATAGTTTTTATTGTATNTTTCTTGTCAAATGTATAAAAAATTTGAGAAGTATTGGTTGGAGTATAGCGTGATATTGGTCATTGCAATTGTGTTTGATCCTCGCTATAAACTTGACTTTGTGGAGTGGTGCTATAAGAAGTTTTATGGTGAAGGCTCTCTTGAGTATTTTCATGTTCGAGATAAATTTTTTTCTCTATTTGATGAGTATATAAGCAAATCTGTTGTCACCTCTTCTTCTCAATCATCGACTGTTCCCCGTGGTGGTGTAGTTGCTTGTGAGCCAATCTTGAACACATAACCTGTGTTAGATTTGAAGGTATTTAATTTTTTGTTTTATAGTTTTTATTGTATTAGATTAATAATATTAATAGTCTATGATTTGAAAATCTGTGATTTTGATAATGTAGCCATTTGTCAGTGAGAGCAATGCATCTGGTCTTAAAACACAAAAAAGTAAATTGCAANGTTTTATGGTGAAGGCTCTCTTGAGTATTTTCATGTTCGAAACAAATTTTTTTCTCTATTTGATGAGTATATAAGCAAATTTGTTGTCACCTCTTCTTCTCAATCATCGACTATTCCCCGTGGTGGTGTAGTTGCTTGTGAGCCAATCTTGAACACATAACCTGTGTTAGATTTGAAGGTATTTAATTTTTTGTTTTATAGTTTTTATTGTATTAGATTAATAATATTGATAGTCTATGATTTGAAAGTCTGTGATTTTGATAATGTAGGCATTTGTCATTGAGAGCAATGCATCTGGTCTTAAAACACAAAAAAGTAAATTGCAATTGTATTTGGATGAGCCTAGGGTTGACATAGAAACAGAACTTCTTGTTCTTGATTATTGGAGAGCTCATCAGTATCGTTATCCGGAACTTGCTATTATGGCTCGTGATGTGTTAACTATTCCAATTTCTACTGTTGCTTCAGAATCAGCTTTTAGTATTGGTGGTCGGGTTCTTGACCAATACCATAGTGCTTTGAAGCCTCATGTTGTGGAGGCTTTGATGTGCACTAGGGATTGGTTATATGCAAAAAAATATAATAAATATAATTTGTGATGACTACGATATTTAATTATCTTTACAAATATTGAATTTTTATTTATATGCTTTCCTTATTGTTATTTAGAAAATTCACAAGTGTAATTGGAAGAGCTGGTNATTATTTTTAAAAATATTGAATTCTTATTTATATGCTTTCCTTATTGTTATTTAGAAAATTCACAAGTGCAATTGGAAGAGCTAGTAGAAGATGTAATGAATCCAACTTTGAACAAAAATGAGGATGCATCGGTGCAATGTTCAAATGTGATTGTGGATCTTGATTGTTGATGTGTGTGAGTCATAAAACCTAACTCTTTTTCTCAATCTTATGCGTTTNTTGTTATCCGGAACTTGCTATTATGGCTCTTGATGTGTTAACTATTCTAATTTCTACGGTTGCTTCAGAATCAGCTTTTAGTATTGGTGGTCGGGTTCTTGACCAATACCGTAGTGCTTTGAAGCCTCATGTTGTGGAGGCTTTGATGTGCACTAGGGATTGGTTATATGCAGAAAAAGGTAATAAATATAATTTGTGATGACTACGATATTTATTATTTTTACAAATATTGAATTCTTATTTATATGCTTTCCTTATTGTTATTTAGAAAATTCACAAGTGCAATTGGAAGAGCTAGTAGAAGATGTAATGAATCCGACTTTGAACAAAAATGAGGATGCATCGGTGCAATGTTCAAATGTGATTGTGGATCTTGATTGTTGATGTGTGTGAGTTATAAAACCTGACTCTTTTTCTCAATCTTATGCGTTTGTTTTTATTTTTTGTCACAACAACCATTCCATATTTATTGAAGTTAAAAGCTTAGTATGTTTCTTGGCAGGATGTTGGCAAGATTTAGGAGATGAAGAAGATTTGATGACGAGGATTTCATTCTAACGTGAGAGTTCTGTTTTGAATGTAATGGCCGTAATGGCCGGCTTAGTATGATTTTTGGCAAGATGCTTGTAATATTACTTTGGGATATTTGTAAAACTTTTTGAATATTTGTAATGTTGTGGATGTATTTGTTTTGGGATATTTGTGATATTTTTAATGCCTTTTGTTTTATGTAAAACAGGTCTAATTTTTTTTTTGTTATGTCATGTCGGGTTGGATCGTGTCGGTTGGGTCCTGTTAGGCGGGTTTGAGTCGTGTTTACCCGAACACGACCCATGTAAATCTCGTGTCACAGGTCGTGTTGGGTTAGTCGTGTTTTGAGGCAGGTCGTGTTTGTGTCCAAATTACCTAACCTGTTTAACTCACAGGTCGTGTTTGGGTTGATGTGTTTTCAACCCAATCAAAACATGACACGACCTGGATACGACACAACACGACACGATTACCATCCCTACTTGAAATTATATTAAAGATGAGAAACTCCAGGAGACCAAACAGTTGTACTGAATATTTTTGGGAATTTAATGAATATATAAGACCTCAAAGTGTCAATGTATAAGTGACTACACTACTATATTCAAAAATTAGATATTGTCTGTGTCTAAAGACACAAAATAATAAAAAATGATAAGTAATAAACTTATTTGTATTCATATATAAAATCAAATCACAAACATAGAGAAGAGATAAATGAATTTAAGCATCGGTTATAGTGGTGGTAAGAGGTAGTGGGTGACAGTGGTGGTGGTAGGAGACGGTGATGGTTGTGGTGGGCGGCAATGACCGTGGTGGTGGTGGTGGAAGTGGTGGCGACGGCGACAATGGTGGTAGTGATAGTGGCGGCGATGACAATGGTGGTAGCGGTGGCGGTGACAGTGGTNGTGGAAGTGGTGGCGACGGCGACAGTGGTGGTAGTGATAGTGGCGACGATGACAATGGTGGTAGCGGTGGCGGTGACAGTGGTTATGGGAATGGCGACAACAGCGACAGAAGTGGCGATGACAGTGGTGGTGGCAACGACGGTAGTGGTGGTGATGGTGACAGTGGTGGTGATTGTGGTGGTGGCGACAGTGGTGGTGACGATGGTGGCGGCGGTGGTGGTAGAGGTAGTGGTGATGGGGGGTGGTGGTAGAAGTAGTGGTAGGGCGGATTCAGACACTATTTTTTTTTAAAGTACTTATAAGAAATAATTTCTAGTACTTTTAAAAAGTCATTTCAAACACACCATTCAGAGTTTATTTTCCTATTAAATTTATGGTGTTAATATTAGCTGTTAGACTAACTTTAAAATAAAATTTAAAGCGATTTGAACCGTGAAATCAAAAGTCATTTTTTTTATTTTTGAAATTTGAATTATAAGTTACTTTATTATATAGATAGATTGGAAATTCTCCTTGAGCTCTTATTATACATGAGACTAAATTAAATTCCCACCAAATTTAGAATAACAACTACTAATTCATCGGTGAATACATTCCCGAAAAGTCGAAAACTAAGTGCCTCCAACTTTCTGTAACAAAATGTTGGCAATTGAAGAAGATAAGTGCTTGACTATTGCTGATCCTTGCCATAAAATGTGCAGTCCCATTGTTCACTGCTTTGACTTGCCTCTCTTTGGTACCATCCCTTCTAGTATTGGATAACTCACAACCAAAATGAAGGAAGATAGGAAAAACTGTCCAAACATCTCTTCAAAATTTCTCTCAGTAACCATCCTTTTCAATCCAACGATGAAGCATACCACGTTCAATACGACTAGTACTCTTAAGGGGATCATGAACATCTTGGCACCTTCAAAATCAAACTTACCCTTCTCGTATTTTTCGAGTTTTTCTTGATCAATGGCTTTGTTTGTCAGCCTGAATGTTGCTTTTGCTATGCCTAGCCGCTTCAGCAGAGCATCAATGCATCCGAACAAGCATGCTGTGACTGTTTTTATGATCCATATCCTTTGTTCATTCCACCATGTTCTGACTGAGCCACCGCTAGAAAGGACTTCGTATAAATGCTGGCAGACAGATGACATGAATATGATTCCAAACACTGGAAACCATGGGTCTGAGACCTGAAAAACCACCATTGAGTTTGTTGAATGAAACTGCAGTGATTGTAAAATTGTGTCCAAGTTCACCTATCAACGAGCAACCCCGATTTTGATCCACATAACTATTACCATTCCACATCTTGGTAGCAATTAATGGGAAACAAATTGGAGAATGAATGATCCTTTTATCTTGTCAGCAATTAGTGTCATTGAGTCAGACCCATTAGTTTATTGTCCAAGATATACAGTACTTTCAGAAAGAAAAACCTGACCTGAAATGCCTCAATTCAAGAGTTCAAAAGTGTATTTGCTTAGAATAATCTTGTTTACAGTAACCTGTAATAATTTCTATCCTAGTATTACTCAGATTTCAGTAACCGAGGGCAGTAGAGATCATGAACTAGTATTGAGATTCAAGTCAACACTACTATATTGGACATTATTAGTTATGGCACCCTTAGGGTACCAAAAGCTATGGTTCAATCGAGTCAATCAAGATCGATCCCAGCATTTTTTTAACCTAATTGTGTTGAACAATTGACTCGTAATGTGACATTATCTAGTCATGTGGAAGAAAATAGAATGAGGAGAATGTAAAAGAGTCACCTTGGGGTACAGAGGTATGCCAGTGAAGAAGCACAGCTGAGGGATGGTTCCATACAGAATCACAGCAACACAGTTGAGATGAGTAAAAGCAAAATATGCATAGCACATGCTCTGAAGAATAGACATCCTTGACATCCCATATGTTAGGGGGCTGAATCTTGAGAAACCAACTTGAACCAATTCAGATGCCCATTTCATGAGTTGAACCATAGCATCCTTCATGTCAATGGTGGTGCAGCCCAAAAAGCATGGCCTTTTCGGATACAGATAAACCGATTCCCAACCTTTGCATTGCAGGAGATAACCGATGAATGTGCTCTCCAACAAACAGTCATATGAGTAACCAATCTGTTCCACAAGCAAAATGAATTTGAAGCTCATCCAAGCAATGAACAGTCTATAATTTGCATAACAGTTCGATTTTATATACCTCTTTACCCCATCTCGTGTTTTGTTCAAATGTGCAAGTGGCCAAAATTTTAGCCTCTTCTAAAGTTTCATATGATATAGTTCCATATCCTTTGATGTGTTGCTCATTACTACCCTTTAGTGACGCATTGAACTTGCTGGAAAAACCAAAATTCTTTTGCGCCTCATGAAGAAACTCATCTATAAACCGAAATTTTAACCAAAAAATTAATAAGAAAAAAGTGGAAGAAGAAGAAGAAGAAGAAGAAGAAGAAGAAGAATTTAAGTTATGGAATACAATAGANAAATAAAAAGAAAAAAGTGGAAGAAGAAGAAGAAGAAGAAGAAGAAGAAGAATTTAAGTTATGGAATACAATAGACACTACAAGAAAAAGGGCTGTTTTTTCAAGTAATAGTCATACCTTCTTTATTGGGACTACAATATAAGGACTGTTTCTTCAANGACACTACAAGAAAAAGGGCTGTTTTTTCAAGTAATAGTCATACCTTCTTTATTGGGACTACAATATAAGGACTGTTTCTTCAAGTAATAGCCAGTGCCTGAGCACACTGGGCCTCTTAATCCATCCATACCTTGATATTTGGTCTGAAAATGGATAAAAATTATCGATATTTTCTTAGTAATCAAAACCCGAACATCCACAACTAGAAACTTAGGCCAATTTGAATTTCAATGGTAATGCAAGGAATAGCAATTTTGGTTTAAGTTTGTGCACCTTGAAAGCTGATCTTGCTTGGCCATCGTAGATATCGTTCTTGCTAACATTGTAGAAAATTTGAGGGAATTGCACAAAAGACAGTGAACTAGACTTATTGGGATCAAGATGGAAGCACATTGCTTGTTTGGCTGAGGAAGGATCATTGCAATACATGTCACAATCTAACACTAGTATGTATGGGGCATTGCTCATTATCCCTGAAACTCGAAGCTGCAACAAGAGTCCAGCAACTTAGTTTTCATCTGTTGTGTGTGTGACACAGAGAAAAAGGGGGAGAAAGAGAACAGTACTTACAAGAGCATTGAGGGCTCCAGCTTTGAACCGATGAGGGTAAGATGGTCTTTTTTCCCGGGATACATAAACGAGAAGAGGCATCTTAGTTTGGTCATCTTCATTCCCTCCATGTTTATTAATATCATGAATTACCTATATAAGATATATAAATCTGTTAATTTCCTGTTATTTTTCTTTTTCTTCTCCGTTTCAATCAATGATTAATTCACTAAAAAAAAAATGGGCGAGGCTATTCTCACTCCAAAAATATTCATTCTCATAATATTTAATTTTTTTATTAGCAGAATACTAAGTCTACCTCATATTATAGACACCCTTTTAATAAGTAATTTAAAAAACAAGAAATTTTTTTTTATCAAAACCCAAAAGAAAATAAGAAAATAAAGNCCTCATATTATAGACACCCTTTTAATAAGTAATTTAAAAAACAAGAAATTTTTTTTTATCAAAACCCAAAAGAAAATAAGAAAATAAAGCAACAAATCTATCGTCAAAAATATAAAAAAAAAGAAACAAGCTTTCTAATTCACAAACGACACAAGCTTACCAAACAAAATGAATTTTCTATTGTAAATTGCCTTTATTGCCACTTTTTAAAACAATCTGAATGCAAATACATACACACACATAAATTCTAAATCAAATTATTAAACTTGACAAAATTACCAAAACACAAAAACAAAAATAGAAATTCACACATCACACATAACATCAAACATAAAATTAAATCGAAAAATAATATTAACTTGTATCTCATTACAGAAATCTATATTGAAAAAATACTTTTATGAGCATATGAGACGGGATAATGAATAAAACTCTAACTTTGAAAAGATATAAGATGAAATAGGAGTGTATATAGCATTGAGTAAGTTTAGTTATTCATGGGGTGAATATAGAAAGGGTAATCTTAATAGTTTAATAATAAGAAATTAAATGGTCATGAACGAATATTTATTGGATGGGAATAGCCCCATCCAAGAAAAATAAATATAAACCAGGATAACAATCAAATGTGTATTTTTAATGAAACTATAAATTATAACACTCTGTTTAAAGATTTAGCACTAACCCACATCCAAACAAAATCTAAGAACCTAATTGGGAGGGCCACAAAATCTAACGGCAATCCAAGTGGGTCCCACTTATGTTATATGTAAAATAATTTTATAATATTATATTTACCAAATTTTTTTTTCGATAAAAACTTTTAATGAGTGTAACGCTACTAAAAAACATACATATCAACGATCTATGAAATTTAATGCAAAAATTACTTTGTTACGTGCTTACCTCTATATGAGGGGGTCGATTGTGCGCAACAGAATCGTCGATCCCACATTTCTCCACATTTCTCTTGAACAGTTCATACTTTGCCTGAAAAAAAAAATATAAAAAGAAAAAAAAAAAAAAGCTGAGCATATTTTGATATCAGGGAAAGATTGCATTATCAAAATTTCATATCTTACAAAGAAACTTAGAAAAATTATGTCTCAATGTCTCAATCAAACCAAAAATACGACTAGACTCTAGAAAACTTAGAATAGTTCGTAATCACTTTCATTTAATGATAATTAGACTCGCTTGATATCAACTTATTATCTCATTTAAAAGCTTAAACTCTTTGTGCGTGTGTGCATACGTGCACTCGTGGTCTAGTGTATTTGCATTTTTCTATATACTAGCAATGCATCACGTGTGTTGTACGTAAATAAATTTTCTTTTAAAAATTAATAAATAAATATTTAATATATGTGTACTTGATTTAAATATCATCTCAAATTTATCAAATTTATTTTTTCATCTTTCATGCTCTACTATAGAATTTTTGAAAACTTTGTATATTTTCAAGATTTATTATTTTAACTTTAAGAAAAATAATATAAAAAAAAAAAGAGAAAAGAAATAATTGAAGTTCTATTTTGTTTCTATATTTTTGTAATTGAAAGTGATATTTGAAAATTAAATTTTTTAAAATTAATTTGATTAAGATTTCACTTATAAATCACTGAATAAGATAAAAGTAATATCAATATGTCAATCATATTAAAACTTTACGGTATTTAGAATTAGTTAGGTCAATTTAGATAAAATTTCATATACAACGCTATAATATATATTATAACGTATATTAAAATTTTTAAAAAATTCAAATTTTCATATAAAATGTTAACATAGTTTAAAATGTTTATTGTGACTAAAAAAATCATATAAAACTATATATACATTATTTTTTATCTTAAAATTTAAATGGTAAAATATTTTGATAAAAAATAAAATATACATATATAGTCATAATATTAACTTTATAAATGAGATAAGTAATATTACATTTATGAAGTTTTTGAAATTTTTTTTGAATATTTTGTTAAAACTTATAATAATGCATATATTTTTTAAGAATAATATAATCAATCAAAAAGTTTCATAAACATTGACATTTGTACATAGATAACATATAATTAAAAGTGATCTTAGATGTTATTTGTAGATTTAAATACTTAAGAATATGATGGTAATTTAGGTATTAAGTGTGGAATAATAGAGTGGTCTTTTTATTTCTTTATGAGAATAAAATAGTAAATTAAAATTTTTTTATATTAAGATACTTTTATTAGTAGTATAAATATAAGTAAATGTAAATATAGATATTAAGGGTGTCCATGGGCCGGGTTACCCACCGGTCCCATTACCTAGCCCAAAAAAAAAGGCCCTAAGCCCAATATTTGGCCCGCCCAAGTCCGACCCCAATATCCTTAAAAAGAGGGTTTGAGTTTACCTCCAAATCTATTACTTGGCCCAAAGCCTAGCCCAAGAGCTCGCTAGTCGAGCTCGCTCGCAAGCCCAACCTAGCCAACCTTTCCTTTGAAAAAAAATTATACTATTAGACTATTAAATTTAAAACTTTGAAATAAGTTTTCCAATATTGAAATTTAAAGTTTTAAAAATTTAGATATTATAAATAATGTATTATTTTCTTTTCTATATATTAAGCATATAAGTTTTAAATTGAAGAATAATACAAATGAAAGATAAGTTAGTAGGTGTCAACTTAATTGAGATTTATTCATTCTATTAGATGTAATTCATTATTTTATTTTTATCAATATTGACTTTATTTTTGATTAAAAAATATAATTTATACAAATATTAAGTTACAAAAATATTCATTATTTTTAAATAAAAATGAATATAAAAATTCCACCAGCAGTCCGTTCAACAAGTCCGCCCAATAGGCTCACGGGTTGGGCTGCGGGTAGCCTACCTTTACCCGAAACCCTGCTTGGTCCGTTCAATAACTTATTTGAGTAAGAATTTGGGCTTACACTACTCAGCCTGGCCCAAAAAATATTAGCGGCCTAGGCCGGCCCCGCCCATTAACACCCCTAATAGATATAGATAAATAATGGGCCAACAAAAATTTGACATTCTTGGTGTTCCCTGAGCTGGATGCGGAGCAAGAGCCGCTCGTATTNGGGCCAACAAACATTTGACATTCTTGGTGTTCCCTGAGCTGGATGCGGAGCAAGAGCCGCTCGTATTTGACCGCTGGCTATATTATAGTTTTGATTGCCGATTAAGAAATCAACTAATTTATTACTAAACTATCACTAATTGTATGATCTCATCACTTAAATCATTAATCAAAGTTATCAGAACAATTTCTTTATGATGTGAGGCGTGATTGGGTTAGACTTTGTTTCTCTGATTATTATTGTTTCACCCTCAACTAGAGTTGATTAATCAATGTACAAGATAGGCTCAAAAAAGTAAATTCAAAGAAACTTTGAATACAATAAAGAAATTGGAGAATTATACTCAGACTTCTTGGGGTTTATCACTTAATTATTCAGATCCGTTGACATTTAAAATATTACACACAGACCCTTTAAAATTTGTACGCGCGTAACACTTAGACCCCTGATATAAATATATCTGTTAATAAATTACACTTAAACCCTTCTGAAGTTTGTAGGTATATAATATNATTTAAAATATTACACACAGACCCTTTAAAATTTGTACGCGCGTAACACTTAGACCCCTGATATAAATATATCTGTTAATAAATTACACTTAAACCCTTCTGAAGTTTGTAGGTATATAATATTTAGACCCCTTAAATTTAAAATGTTATACTTAAACCAAAAATACTTCAATCAAAGATAAAATATCAAATATTTTAAATTTTTACAATTAAAATTCATGTTCTATTGTATCATTTATTGAAATAAAATCAAAAATTCAAATTCAAATTTTTCTTAAAAAATCGTAATTAGTATATAAATTGTCTATTGGAATTTAATTTGGTCATTTAAACGACCAAATTAAAAAACCAAATTACCCCAACTAAAGTTAAAATATATTATGTCCATTATAGTTTGACCCCTTATTTATTTTTTTTTTAGTTTTATTCTAATAAATAGTATAATTTTATACTAACTATAATTTTTTTTAAAAAAACCTAGGTTTTTAATTTTGATTTTATTTCAATAAATGACATAATAGAATATGAATTTTGGTTATAAAATTCATGTTCTATTATGAATGACTGAAATCCCTTATTTGATTTTTTAATTTTATTCCAATAGATAGTATAATTGTATACTAATTATGATTTTTAAGAAAAAATTAAAATTTTAATTTTATTTCAATAAATAATACAATAGAACATGAATTTTGATCGTAAAATTTAAAATATTTGATATTCTATCTTTGATTGGAATATTTTTTGTCTAAGTATAATTTTTTAAACTTAAAGGGTCTAAGTATTATGTACCTACAAACTTCAGAGGAGTTTAAGTGTAATTTACTAACAGATACATTTACATCAAGAGTCTAAGTGTTACACACGTACAAATTTTAAAGAGTATATGTGTAATATTTTAAATGTCAAGGAATCTGAATGATTAAGTGACAAGTCTCAAGGAATCTGGATGTAATTCTCCTTAAAGAAATTGAAGAACATAATGAAAATTAAGCCACTAAAAATCTTACAATGTATTTTTAAAAAGGTGTCTTTTATTTCTTTTTGCATGAAGGCAATTACCACTGAGGTCTAAACCAGAGCCATCGTAAAAAGGGAGATGTTTGCTACTTATGTCTTAAAGTGCCCTTTTTTTTTTTTTTGAGCTGAACTTTTAAAAACATCGAAAATGACTTTTTCCAGTACTTTTTTTTTATATTTATTCAGTAATTTTCTTAAACTTTTGCTTTTTCCAAAAAAATTATCGATTACCATCTTTCCAAGGTGGGAAAAAAAGAATTTTTATGTGTATATTTTAAATCCCACGAACTTTGAAATAAGAGTGAGCCCAAATAAAAAAACGAAATGAATCACTAATAATGTCCGTGTTCCACTTCCACCTAAACCTCGCACCATAACCAATAGCACTCCAGAGGGATGGACTTAGTTTGGAGCAAACTGTAAATATCTTAGATTTGACTCTCTAATAAATCTTGAATTAAACTAATATTGTGGGTTAGCTAATGATTGCAGATATTTAAGTTTACTAGTAATGCATGACGTGTGTTACACGTAAATAAATTTAAATAATATTTTTTAAAAAGAAAATATGAATTATATGAGTAATTAAATATCAAATAATTAATTTGTATTTTAATTATTATTACNTTAGATTTGACTCTCTAATAAATCTTGAATTAAACTAATATTGTGGGTTAGCTAATGATTGCAGATATTTAAGTTTACTAGTAATGCATGACGTGTGTTACACGTAAATAAATTTAAATAATATTTTTTTAAAAGAAAATATGAATTATATGAGTAATTAAATATCAAATAATTAATTTGTATTTTAATTATTATTACATTTAATAATAAATTATTCTATAAATTTTTAAATAACTAATCTGTCATTTATTTAGTCATTGCCTATTTAATTATATTGTTCAATAGATTGATTAGATCTTTTATAATATTATTATATAAAAAAATATAAAAATATAACATATATTTGACTGTAAAATTCAATCAAGTAACTGCATATATATAATAATTTAACATATATTGAACTTTACTTCTTCATATAAATATACAAAATTGTGTGCAGCTATAANTCTTTTATAATATTATTATATAAAAAAATATAAAAATATAACATATATTTGACTGTAGAATTCAATCGAGTAATTGCATATATATAATAATTTAACATATATTGAACTTTACTTCTTCATATAAATATACAAAATTGTGTGCAACTATACNCATATATATAATAATTTAACATATATTGAACTTTACTTCTTCATATAAATATACAAAATTGTGTGCAGCTATAATACTAATAAATGAGTTCAAAATAATTTAGAAATTCTTATAAAAGAATCCAACATAAGTTTTTTTTTCTTTTTTGGTCGGAAGGCAAACATAAATTGAAAGTAAAATATGAGTAAAAAAATAAAAAATAGATGAAAGTATATAAATGAATATAATTGATTTTATTATTATAATTAGGAATAAAATAGAAAATTAAAAGTTTTTTTTACTGATACTAACATTTATAAATAGTATAGATATAAGTAAAAGTTACACGCATCCCTGGGCTTTAGATCAAAAAACACAATGACCCCTAACATTTGAAAAATAACATGGAGATCCCTTGAGTTTAAGAATGCATAACAATAACTAAGGATTTTTGGTCTAATGATACTACTTATCTTATGAAGGTTTTACCTTCGTGAGGTCAAGGGTTTAAGTCTCATTTCTCCGTCCTCATCTTCCTCCCCCCCCAAAAAAAAGTTTTTTTTTTTTTTAAAAAAAAAAAAAAATCCCCTACATAATGTATGTGTGTGTGTGCAAATATGTATATGAAGTTATGTGTACCAACACGTTTGTATGCAGTAATGCAAGTTTGTTTTCTTGCCCTTAAATAAGTATGTAACAAAGTAAGAATCTACCTTAATCTTCTCTTCCACTTCCTTAATTTCATCTCCCCAAAGAAGACGTTCATCGTCACCAAGTGATGAGAAATAAGCTTCAGGACACCTAGTTTTGATTCCATATTTTCTGCAAAATGGAAGCCAAGACCTTGCAAAGGAACAAGCTTCTCTCATGGCGTACAATGTCAAGGCAGAACCACCATCGTCGGAAAGATAAACGGCGAGCTTTTCCGGCGGGTAGTCCAATGCCATGGACGACAAAACCGTGTTCATCACCTCGATCACTGGCTCCTTCTTGGGGTCTGCCGTGCAAATAAGCACGTCGACCCCCGGGAATTCCTGATTCCTGCGGAGATTTTCCGGTTTGACCGATCGAACCACTGGCCGCCATCGGAATGCCTGTGTGAGGATCCATATGAACGTGAAAAGAAGCTCAGAGGCGGTGAGAAGCCCGCACGCAAAAACTGGTACATCACCATGGATGAGATGTGAAATTCTGTAGTAGAGTAGAGCTAAAATGGCTGTGAAGTGGAAGAAACTGTGGACTCTGTTAATGGTTAGACGAGTTTGCTGGACTGTGCAGGTGTGAAGAGTTAAGGCGCCCATATTCTTTAGTCCCCCTCGATTCCACAAACAATAGATACCTAATATATAAATGGCCTGGCACATCCTAGTAATGTTATATAAGTGTAAAAATTAAACTTAATAATTATAATTATTGAATAACTAGTGGGTCCAATAAATATTAGAAATTATATTAAAATTAATTGTTATAATTATCAAGTATAATTTTTAAATCTATGTAGTATTATTTTATGATTTTACACTTTAATGTTTGGCCTTATTTATTTATTTTTCAATAGTTAGTGTATTTGGATTAGCTTCCGTGTAATTTGACTAATTCTCTCCTTGATCTGGTTAAAGGCAGACCATCTATGTCAAGACTAGGGTATTCATGTGGGATAAATCTATCATGGTCTGATCTTGAGGCAATGTCTAAATTTACAGTTCGTCCCTATTACTACTTTAATTACCTCTTAGAGTTATTTTGTTGAGACCATCCAACGTTTATTAAAAAAAAAATTATCAGGCCTTGAAATTTGCATACATTATTTTATGTAGGTAACTCATTGTAAAAAGTGTTTTACTTAGTGAAATAATAATTATATTCTTTTACATATGCTCATGGGATTCTATAAGCAAAATTTTAAAATCGTCGAATAAATTTATTAAAATTTATCTTATTTTATATTATAGATATATAAATCACAACCATTGATGTTAGTTAAGTTTTTTTTCTGTAAATAATGTTAGTGGGGTTAGGTGGGATTATAATCCCTAAAAAGGCTACCGTCCCTAGATGTTCTTAAGTAATCTTTTTGTTTTTTAATATTTTTAAGTGGAAATTATTTTGCAAGTTTGTCTTTTTTAAAGTACTACATGTATACACCACTTTTTCAAAATAATAATCAATTATGCTTGCATTTTTTTTTTATTTAAAATGTCCCAAGAAAAATAAAATACAATTTACACTTACTTAATTTTGTAGACTAAATAGTCTATTCCAAATCATGCAACACATTCAACTCCATTAAATGTTAATAAAACCTAACTCTTGCTGGTAGTCTAGTGATATAATTATCTCCATTAAATGTTAAAAACATATATTTTATATTATAGATATATAACTCTTGCTAGGAAAATTTTATTATTGAATTTTGGGATGAAAAAAGTATAAGAGTAATGCTATTGGGACCTAATTTACTGACCTAATTTGTTGACTTAATTCACTATAACCTTTGGATTAACTGTGGACTCCATCAAACATTAGAACTTGATGTTTATTCAATGGTTCTAATGAAACCATGTTATTAGGTCAACAAATTATGTCAGATTTTTAGGTCCAAATAGCATTTTTCAAAAGTATAATTTTCTAAAGACGGTTTGATGCATAAGACTTTTGTTACTTTAAAATGTATTTGATAAAACTGAAAGTTGAATATTAAATTTGTGAACTATTTGGTGCTTATTAAAATTTAAGTATTAAATTAAACAAAACTGTTTGATAACTATACATAATTAATTTTCTAAAAATAAATTAATATATCTAATTTTATCCTACAACTTTTTACTTTGAAAATACTTATAAAATATGCATTTAGCTAATAATAGTTTTTTAACATGATATCAAACAAGGCTAGATGTATATGGTATTGTTTAACACAATCAAATTATTATCATGACCCATCAAAATAGTTAATATAATACAAACAAATTGAAGATTAAAAGTATTTGAGAACACAAGGCAATTAATTTTCTAAAGTAATTGTTCATTGATACTCTCTACAAAAAAAAGAAAGTAAATTGAATAAATAAATAAATACTTCAATACAAATAAATAATTGAGCTAGAAAATAATTGAATAATAACAAATTCAACAAACACGCATAAAATAATTAAACAAATTTGATCAAAAACAAAAAAGAACAAATGAAGCATTAATCAAACAAAACAAGAATAATAAAAATTAATTAAATTTTTTTTNTGATCAAAAACAAAAAAGAACAAATGAAGCATTAATCAAACAAAACAAGAATAATAATAAAATATGAATAATAAAAATTAATTAAATTTTTTTTAAAAAAATAACAACGAATTGAACAAATATTTAAGGATGTTTTAATTTAATCATTATGTATGCAATATATGTCTAAATCTGTGTGATTGTGTGTTTGTAATTTATATGGGTGCATTGCACGTAAGCGTGTGTTAGAAAATCAACGTGGGTTTGCGTGTGATTCGGTGGGTTTGCGTTGGATTCCGCGCCGGGGGGGGGGGGGGGGGGTTGTAATTTAATGGAGCTTGCTTTAATGGCCAACATAAACTTAGTATGGCATTTATTTATTTAATTAAAAAAAAAGAGATTATATATTTATCATTTATTCTCTAGTGCATTGATAGCAAAACTTGACCAAAAGAGGTAAATTGAGTCTTTGTAATAATTAGAATAGTTCTTTATCAATAATTTTATGTTATTCATTAATTACATTACTATCATCATATCCAATTTCATATATGCATGCTTAGTAAATTCCAACTTTTTTCTCATGTATTCATCTTTCTTCGAAGTTTCCACCGTCAATCGAAGTGAAATTTTATGTAGGCATTCTAGAAGATAATTTCAAGGCCATTAGATTCGACTAATTATATAATATTTCGAAATTCAATGTTGGTCCATTTGAATCTATTGTCTAATACCGCAAACGCCCATTAAAAATTATAAAACTTTTTTGTCGTCTATAAAATAAAATTTTGGTCCTTACAAAAAGCTTTTCAAACAAAGACCCTTTTACAAAAGTTAGTCAAGTGATTCCCTTTCTAACTTGGTGGAAGGGATATCTAAAGAATACAAATTTGAATTTTCATCTCTCTTAAACTTCAAAGTAACATTTTCTCCAGAAAGGTCTAGTCATTTGTAATAACAGGTCACCTACACTGACTTGTCTCCAGAACACGCGGTGTTTTGAAGAATTAATCACCCAACATACAAGAGTTGGTACCCTAGAATACATCTGTCAAGAGATCGATTTTGAATTAGACTTTAACTTATTCGAATTCGATTTTAAATGTCCAATTTGACAAGTGGATGAATTTTATTTTCGTAATTCATATTCAAATTTGTTAACAATCCAGAATCCAATCCAAAATCTTAACAATTATACCTAAATTTCAACTAAATTTCTTTAAATAATCACTTAATTTCTTTAATATTTATATAAAAATATGTAGATAATTCAAATTAGATCATAATTGAATAGGATATAAGTATATCCAAATCCAAATCCATAAAATATCAAATACCAAATTCGGGTTCGAATTATCGGTTCAAAAAAAATATTAATCTATATCCAACTAAGCAAATTTATATTCGGATCGAATTTAAATCAGAATTTGATCCATTGACTGATCTACTCTAAAAAGCTTAATCTCATGTGTCAATGATTTGTGGGTGAACTATTAACCCAACTTACATAGGTGCTTCTAGAAGCTTGATATATAAATACATAAAATAATTGTGTTTTTTTGTTTTTTTGCAATCAACTAGGGAGAAAAGTTCATTATTTATGTTGTTTAGTCAACAAGCATGATTTCTCTCCTCAAAAGTCATGCTATGGTGGGTCTTTAATGTTATATTAAATCTCACAAATAGCCACCCCACGTTTCTTCCTCTCACATTCCCAACTGGTTCTATGGGTATTTCCTCTTCTGTCTGTTATATAAAAAGAAATTATAGTATTTATATATCCTTTTCTTGAAAAGATGGATTTAGATTTTATATAATACTTTTTTTCTCATTTTTATTTTTCTTGATCATCTACCATAAATAAATACAACATTTACTTATATGCAATAGAAAGTCACACTTGAATTCATGATATATAATTCATCAAAAAGAAATAAATAAAAGAAATATATGTATTAGAAGGGATCTCGTTACTTCCGATTGTCATCATATTACCCTTAAAAGATGCTTCAATTCTTAATTTGCACCATAAAACACTAAAAATTTTAATTTACACCCTCAATGTTATGAATTAGTAGTAATATGGACCTAACCCAGATTATCATTCACTTTTTTGTTGTAAATAGAGGCACTTGAGGTGCAAATGCTTTGGACATGAGAATGAGATATGTTCATCGCTGCAAATCTTCATCTAAGATCAATTGGACAGCATGTTATGTACAAAAAATAGGATTTTATAATCAGATAGAGGTTAATCTTATTATATGTAATTCACACAAAACACTAACAATTTATGAATTTACACATATACCCATGACCGAAACACTTTTGCAATTCACATTCGAGGATACAAATTAAAAATCAAAACATCTTTTATCGGTTAAATTGAGATTAGCCTTTATTTAAATTATGTTTGCTAAGTGTTGGTGAAAGGTACAAAAGCAATCAGATTCATAATCTCTTTTGACATATGCATCGCCATCGTTGGCCTGCAAAAAGCAGCCCTTTGTAAAGCATCAATCCACTTGTCTAGATGACAACGTGCCGATGATGATGCCGAGAACAAGAATGGAGGAAAACGATACTAATTAATTATTACAGTAAAAATGTCCACAAATTGGAAAATATTCAATATTCGACCCATCACTTTCGTTGATTTTCCAATGATTTTGCTGTTGAAAGTTGAAACCAGGGTGACAAACAACAAAGTAACACAAGTTGGAATAAAATTACACACATCAGGACAATGGTTGCCGCCCACTTTTGGGGTCGGATTACGTCTATACTATGCTATTTTATTTCATTGGCCGCCCGCGCCCAGCCACCGTATCCAATTACGGTATCAAAAAGTTATTTTCGATATTATACATTTATATTTTTTTTTCGAATAGTAAGCGGTACCATGTAAAGTTTCACTATTTTATAATATGACTATCTTTTATTATTTTTCTAATCCATGGTCATGGATCAATATAATTAAGATCTAGGGTTAATTATAATTTATCGTTTCTAACTATGTCTTTTGTTACAATCAGCTCCCTATGATTTCAAATTCTACAATTTGGCTCCTCCAAATTTCAAG